AGACCGACTGACTACTGTCCTATACTGTGCCGTGTGTGTTGTGGGTGAATCCATTATTCAATGCAATATATACAAACGGTAAAAAGCTTGAAAGAGCTGGGAGAAACGGTTACCTTGTTGATTACTGGAACAAAGAAGTCTCAACCGCTGACCGGCTGTGCCAGACGGAAAAAGCAGACGGTTATCAGAGTCTCTCTTGTGACGTCTGTAATGCAAGCGGATCAAACACAAACGGCGATAAGCAAATCCTCTCAAAGACAAAGAATCTCTTGTCTGAAAATTTTCGTAAATGAGCGAAAATGGGGGGATGAAAACGCTATTTATAGAAGGGTAAAAATTAGGGGCATCCCTGTAATTTCCCTAGAAGGCGAACGGTTAAAATCGTTCACCAATGCCTGTGTGACAAGTGTCACAGGCGTCACCTAGCATGCCACGTCACCCCTGTGAGGGGCAAATGTTTTGGGTAAAAATATTTATGCTACGTGGCCCAATCAGAAGGTGACACGTGTCACCCTAAGAGAGGTTCTAAATGAACCAATCTCCAGTTGACACGTGGCACTCCCAGTCAGCAAGGAAAAAGACTTTCTTCAGGCCCAATTCCCTAGATTGCCAGAAAGCGGCGCAGCCCATCAGTCCTAGGTTTCTGTAACCTAGAACGGGGGCATAAATCCCAATGACTTTATAAATGGGAAGATTTACCCCCCTTGGGGGACGGATTAGACAATTCATTAATTACGCATTCAATTATTCAAAAGCATTTAATTCTCCCAACAGAGAAAACACTCGATCTCGGAATCCGAGAGGATCCCACTTTACCTTTCGCACTTTTTTACATTCTCCGTACACGTTCTAACTTGGTCGTCGGAGGCGGAACTCCACCCAACCGGAGTCTCCGTTGTTTTGCAGGTACAGGCGCCCGGAATCCAGTCTTAGTGACGTAACTCTCCCGAGGGACACTGAAAACCCCAAAACAAATCTCATACTTTATAAGGGTTCAAAAGAATGTGGACATTGCACAAAGTGCTGCAAACATCGGAGGGAAGAGATGCTTGGAGCGCCCAACAACTTGACGACAAAAATTCGAGAGGAGGAGTTGCTGGGCAACTAAAGGACGTCCTCACTAAAGTGGAGTCGGTGAGTGTGGATGTAGCACTGTGCAAGGCGGTTGTGGTGAAGGGCGTTAAAACTGTTTGGAAGGGATCGAGGATCAAAGTTCAGGAGCTGCCTAAGTACGAGGAAAAACGTGAACGTCCCAAAGGCCCTTGATAAAAACTAGTGGTGTGTCTAGAGGTACTTTAAGGCCTTACATTGGGGTGACGATTGTTCCAAGATATCTGCCGTTACAATGTACCTATCGGATGATGTCGTCCTTTGTTGGAGAAGGTGACAAGAGGATATCAAGAAGATAATGTGTTCAATAGCAACTTAGGATGAGTTTAAGAAGGAATTAAGAGTTAATTCTACCTCGAAAATGTTGAGGAGCTAGCCATAAAGAAGCTATGTGGGTTCAGGCAAACTGGGACGATTCACAAGTACATCAATAAGTACTCGTCTCCATTCTAGAGATCCACGACATGAGCGAAGATGCTCACCTTATCTACATCATAAACGGGTTGCAAAGGTTGTCCAAGCTAGAGGTGCGGTGACGAAATGTCAAGAGTCTTGTAGAGGTCGTAGCAGTGGTTATATCATTCGAATTTCCCTTGTTACCTTGTAAAATCTTAATACGAGCAAAAGTTTGGAAAAGTAAGCAAAAGTTGGTTGTACGCCAAAAAATCTAAATATAAGTACCATGAATTATTAATTAAAAAAACTGAGAAAATTCAAGTTTATATCCAGGATAAACAAGTTTCGTTTATCCAGGGGTAGTGTCGTAATTTATTCAAGTTAATGTGAGGGCACGCTTGTAATCTTGAGTGTGAACGCAAGTTGGGTAAAAACGGACTTGTTGACGCTATTTAACTTCTGTTAACTTGTACTAACTCAATTTAATCGGCAATAATCAAACACGAATTGGAAAATTCAATTGCCGCTTGTCACCGCCGACGTACTCTTCGTGGGAATGAGTCACCGTTGAGGTCCGAAGTTGTGTGAGGACGGCGGAGGTCGACGGCGTGCTAGTAGCGGAATCAACGTTTCATAGTTCACCGGTTAAACTTACTTACCCTTTAGGGTTAGCCCATCCCTAAATTTCTCCATTTGGTTTAGGGTTTTCGTTTTATTTAGCGGCGAAGCCGCCAAGTTGCCATTGATTCGGTGTTGGTATCAATAGATGAGGATTGTGGTCGGTTCGAGGAAGAAGATGAATATGATAGTTGGTTTTCGGCTATGGGTTGAAAGAGGAAGGAGATGAAGGAAGAAGATGGTGGTGGTGGTTAATTCCGGTGGTCGTGGTTCAAAGAAGGAGATGAATGAGGTATCAAAAAATGAAAATCTAATATATATAATTAAAGTAGGCATTTTTCGAGAGCATTTGGCGCGCCACATAAGCAAAGGTATTATTTCGACCAATTAAAAGTTAGATTTGTATTTTATTTTAGAATTAAAAAATTCACTCTGCACATAAGCAAAAGTGACGAATGAAATTTAAAAATTTTGCCACGTAGGTAAAAACGACGAATAATGATTTTTTAAGATTTAAATTATTTTAAAACTAAAAATTATCTTTTTTTAAAAGATGATCTTTTGATATTAGGATTTAATTTTAAAAAAAACTATAAATTATACAGTTATTATATACAAACACTTTAAAATTAAACATTTGAAAAGGAAAATATATGTTCATTTTGTTTTTAAGAAAACATTCAATCAATTTTTCTTTTTTTTTAAAAAAAAAAATTTTAAAAGAAATATAAATTATTAATATCTAACTAATATTCTTCAATTTTTTAAAAACAAATAAATGACAATAACGTTCAGTTTTTATCAATATTCTTCCAAAAAAAAAAACAAAAATGTTCAAATTTTATCTTATCTAGCAACCCATTTCATGATTAGATAAAAAAATTTATAAGAGAATTATTTGCTATTCCACAAATATATAAGATAGGATGATATTAAAGATTTGTATACATCCTCTCAAAAATATAATTTTGATTTTTTTTTCAATTGTAAATAGACAATATATATACTATACAAAAAACACAAACATGTGAATATTATTTATCTACACTTTTTCATGGTGTGAATTTTTTTCAGGTCTAATTCGTTGATTAACAAAAAATATTGGAAACAATGTAAGTATATCAAGGCTTTCTGATGGTAAACAAAATAAATTGATTGTTATTCATTATTTTATAAGATGTATGTTTTGTTTTATTTTACCTAATCTAATTATGTTACTTATTGTATTAAATTTTGTTAAACAACTTAATTGTAACTTAATATTAATTATTCTATATTTGAAGGGATTATGTCCATGCGCCAATTGAAAGAAATTTCTTCAAGCACTTATAAATCCAAAAGAGAAATGTGTGGATTGGAAAAGTAAGGGCTTGTTCTCTTCAGCTTATTTTCAATTCAGTTTAGTTCAATTCCTAATTTTCTTCTCTCATAAAATATTCAATTCAGTTCAGTTCAGTTCAGCTTCAATCAATTCAGTTCAGCTCAATTTAGTAAATCAGAACAGGCCTTAAGTCAACTATAATGTTACAATAGTAGGGAAAAATAATTAAAGATTGTAAGAGATGTCTCAGATAATTTTGATTTTTTTATGTATTATAGCTTCTCGTAGAATATCTATATTATAATTGTAAAAATCATTGTAGTAGTGTATACATATAAATCTATTATTAAGGACATATGATAATGAAATTTCATTATAAAGATTTAATTTTATTCAATTAGATTAATTTTAGTAATGCAACACTCTTGGTAGTATATATATATTTCATTTAACTATTTAAAAATTTATAAAGTCATATCTTTTACTATTACTCCCACCGTCTTTATTTTAACCCTGTAGTTTTGGGTTTACTTTATAAATTTTTCATTGTATAAAGTTGATACTGAGTAAAAGAATAATGGTGGTCTAAGTTATTCTTTGTGAAAGAAAAATAGTGATTCTATAACTATATACGTATAGTGGAACAACGTGTTTTCGTTATGCAAACGAACCATTGGTTAAAAAAATACGAATAGGATTATGATTTTATTCTAATATTTATCATACTTATAATTTTCATATAACTAATATTAAGTAAATTAAGGTCGTAATATAAGTTGCATAAAAATAAAATAAATTAACCGTTTTCTAACAAGCAAAATAATAAAAAAATTATAGGGTTAAATTAAGAAAATAATCTTTTCATGAAATTTATGTATAAAAAATCGTGCATCGCATGGGTTTACATCTTATATAAAATAAAACTAAACTAAACTAAACGAAACTGAACGGACGTTAGTTAACTTTGCTAACTAGTACTGACATATTCCTTCACTTTTTCCATCAATACAACATTTTATAATATAAAATTCAGCTCTTTCATTTTGTTAGTAGAGATAAACTTGTTTTGTTTATCTCTGATATTAATGGGGGTTTGCTCTAAAACATGATAATTTGATGCGTTAACAATTCACAAAAAAATAATCGTTCCTCCGTTTTCTTTGATTGCACCATTTGTGATTGCACGCTTGCTAATGCATTACTTTAGTCATTAATATCTTAAAACTTAGATTCTACTGTAATACTTCCTCCGTTTCTATTTAACTAACGCGTTTAATTTAAGTACACATATTAAAGAGAGGAGAGAGAATGAGAGACAATGATAAAGCAAGTAGGGTACACTAGTAATCCAAGGTATAAAACTTACCCAAAAAAGAAACGTGTCAACTAAAAATAAACTTCATCAAGAGGATTACGTGTCAACTAAAAAAACTGAGGTATGTATAAAAAGTTTTGTATTTGAAAAGTAGATATCAAAACAAATCTAACTAGATCCACAAACTATATTTTTCCTTACGTACAAATCACAAAAGATGATCAAATGAGATTGTGTGAATAATATAGAAATCTAAACGGTATAAATAAAATAAAAAATAAGTATAAGAGTAACAACTTTCTAGTCATACATTTTACGTAGTAGCTCTCAACTTTCCATGAGATCTGATGGTAACTTGTTAAGTATATATATTACGGAGCACTAATTACAATGAAGGTTTGTACATCTCCAACAAAACGAGAGAGTTAGTTTAAAAAGGAATGCAGGATTCCAGTATCCCTCAAAGCTACAAAAGATTGATCAACTAAGTTTGGGAATCGCCCAACTATGACAGTATACTTTAAGCTTTTCTACACATTATGCAAGAGAATGGTAGCCAAAATGCGTGCCAACGTGACAGCTACTCTTGCGTAAACACTTACTATAAGAGCAATAATTGAGACTTGTGATCAATGGCATTAAAAATGAACGTTCCAGTCATGGGAATAAATTGTTTTGTGATAAGCTGCATGGACAAAGAAAAATGACTAGTTAGAGACAAGATTTTCGCATATGCCCCAACAGCAAATCAGAATGATGGCAACAGCTAATGCGAAGAAAATTCAATATGGCAGTAGCCGAAACTGGTGTGATATGCATTCTATAATGGATGGTTGTTTTTTTTACTTATTATTATTGTTGATGAGAACTGCACATGATAAACAACAGATCTGAGAAACCATTCAGAGGAAAAACACAGTTTGAAGCCATAGAGCTTGACTTGCCAGCGAAGCCAGCAAACGCTAAAGTCATAGCTTTCAAGTGTTCCTCTACTCATATAGCTATAAGATCCAACTCTTGGCACTATGGAACTTGGACAATAACAGAATAAAACCATAAATACTAGACCAATGTAGTATACCTTAATCACTTCCTGTGAAGCAATCCCACCAATGAAAGCAGCGACTGCATGGAGCTCTGCAGCTCCAAACCGGCAAATTTCATAAATGAGATCCTCGGTCAAGATTGAGCCACTACAGCCCATGTCGGTCAATAAGCTTACAGCTAAAGTCTTCAAACGAGATATATCTTCATCTATCTCTCTGCCAAGATGAAGTTGCAACATTATGATCCATTACTAAATTATAACGACATGTATCTATTCCAGAGAGTTCAAGTTACCCGTCAAATTGGCCCGGAAAACTATTATAGTTGGCAGCAAAACGATCTGCAGCTCGCAACAAGATGTAAAACCCAACAGCCATGCTGGTATGAAAAGGGGGAATATATTGTCAAGCATTTTTAAGGAAAAGAATAATGATAAACTTGAATGCAACTAGGCGCATAGCAGCTATTTATTTAGGATGCATATAGGAGGACTAACTGGTATATTCACATGACATTTGATAATTTTTGTAATTTTTATGGTTACAGTGGTATTTTTTTAATGTACTATTATACATGTTTTTTATACTATTAGAATATAGGTTTTCTTAGTAGTACTATATATAGGTAACAGTAGTGGTACAATATTTGATGTACAATTTATATATATCTATTTGTACCACTAGAAAAACATTTATAGTACTAAAGCATTTAATGGTACTATTTACCTATTTAATAATACTATTTACCTATTTAATGGTATTTTATACCAATGTTCATATTTACAACTCATCCACCACTCTTTTGTCTTATTCATGCTATTTACAAGGCAAGTAAATAGCAGTTGTGCGCCAAGAGTTCTCCGACAAACTTAATTTTATTGTATTGCTCCAGCAGCTCATTACACAGCAAATCACACATAAAGTTATAAGGCCCACGGCCATAAATTTCTTACTCCCTAGTCCCTAAGTTTCAAAATAAATGCCCCATTTGACTTTTTTGCACTATTTACATAATCCACTTTGACCAATGTTAATGATTCATACTTCCTCCGTTTTTAATACTTGCAACACACATTTTTGCACGGTATTTACCTTGTAAAAAGTATAACAAAATTCTTATGAATAGTGCATGGGCCTTCATATCCCTAAAAATATTATTTTACATATTTACCCCATTTGATTTCAAAAGCCTTAAAATTGTCTCTTGAATCTCCTAAATTCAATTATTTGCAAATAAAAAAGATGTTTATTCCAATATTTAAAACCACCTTTTACCCTCTCCATTTTTGTTTGTTTTTCCTATTTGGAATTTGATCAATATTTAATACAAAGTATCAAAGAGACCCTAAATTAGTTTTAATATATAAGGTATACAAGAATTATACAATTGTGAGATATCTTATTAAATTTATTTAATTCATCTCAATAAGTACTTAAAAATTATTAGACATTTTTATTTCTTAAACTCGATTTTTTTGCCGTTCACTCGCTAAATCAAAGTAGCTCTACGAAAGTAACACATTTGTCACCTATAAGCAAAAAGTTAAAACAAAGAGTCATGCAAATAAGCATAGGGCATAAAGACCACCGATAATAATTCTTCTCAAAAGATTAGTCATATTGCGTGCATCGCACGCGTTGAAATCCCTAGTTTAAGAAAAGTGGGTCTTACATGATTTAATACACTTAAAATGGGGGTGAGAGATTGCTAGGAGTGTTGAGAGTATTAAAAAAAACAAAGTATATAAGGAAAAATATAATCACGTGGGTACTTGTTAGAATCGTCTCAACATATAGTTTCCGAATATTAAATATTTATAATTTATCCTTATTGATAATTAATGATAGTTTTGGTCAAAGTTCTGCGTTGGGATGCATGGCTTAGTTTAATTAGGGCATTTATTTTGAAACAAAGGGAGTAACATTAAAAATGCAAAGCAATTTTTCCAGAAGTATTCAGATTGCAAAGGATAGATAGTACAAAAACACTGCTTTGTGACAACAAAAATAATACCTATAATCCTCATCTGTCAAATACTTCTGCAACTCGGAAAGGTTAGGAGTGTTGAGCTCCTCTTCGACCATCCGGTATCTGCATACCTAGGAAAATGAAGTATAATTACGACACAAGGAAATTAAGAGTAAAAAAGAAAAGGTTCTTGGATCTAGTGGATCCTCAATGAAAACAATGTTACAACGAAAAGGTTCTTGGATCTAGTGGATCCACATATATGGGCTCAATCATGCTAGATCTCCAACTTATGGAATAACATAACAGCTTCTAACAAGAAGAAAGAGAAATATGCACACTTATTAAAAGAAGCTGCTGCTCAGGAAGCTAAGAGCCTAAGATAATGATTTTTTAGAGGTGGGGAGCAGTATTACTGCTCAGAAAGTTAAAACAATAACATGATGAATACGAAAACTAGCCTTTGACAAAAGTGTACAGAATCTAGTTATACATAGGTGGCTCTAAGTACAGAATCATATTGGACCTGGATTCTGAACGCATTATTGTCAAACAAGCTCCTAATTAAGGGAATCTAGTTCTTTATATAGGTGTCTCTTAGAATAATGCAAGTGATGAGTGGAGCACTGATTACTGATTACTGATTACTGATTACCCTACTACAGAGGTTATGTTAAGGAAAATTTGATCACAGTCCAGTGATGAAGTTTAATTTTTAAACCAGATTCAAATGCTATAAAATGTGGAATCAGTTACCAATTTAATAAACATAATTATTTCATCTTAGAAGAGGCTAGTCTCAGGACATAAATGTATAAAGTAACTCAGAAAATGAAGCTGTTGAAGAAGATCTTGGGAAGCTTAATCAGGAAGGCTTTAACAATATTCAAGTCACTGATACAAGGGCTTTAAAGAAACTGTTGATGGCACAAGAGAAATTACAAGCTAACCCTAAGGATATTGCACTAGCCAACAAAGGCATGAGGCCAAGCTTATAATCAACTTCATCATTATAATATTTCTGTTTCAACAAAAGGTCAATATAAATTGGCTGGTTAATAGGGAGGAAAATACGTAGTACTCGTGTCTTAATAGAGCATGAAAGCCGGAACATCAGAAAATAAATCAATGCAGAGAGGAACGAACAGGGTGAATGGGTCACAGATTATCAGAAGATTCAAGATACTTATGTACAATACTCAGCTGATTTCTTGGATCAAGCAAAAGGTAACAGAAGCAAGAGATAGTAGTGTTAAGAGCCAAATTTGCAGAGGATCAACACACTTTATTAAACTGTCTTTACTGAAAATGATTTTTTTTTTTGTTGAAGACTACTGGAAATTAAATTAATGATACCATTTTTAATATATTCCTCAAACTAAAGCACCAGGATTTAAAAAGATGACTATGGTAGTGATTTCCTTTAAAGCAACTAGGTCAATTATTGGTAATGCTATAACAGGAGCAAATGTGGAAACTTTTCAAAATTAAAAGCTGCTAGATACTGTAAACAAAAGTACTTTTACTATGGTTCAAAAATTTGAAATGAAGTGGGAGATTATAGGCAAATAGCCTAATGTACTGCGACATATATGACTAATATGAGCATAACAAAGCTATTTTATTCTCAACTGCAAAAATTTCTTCCCCAAGGTGGTTTTGTGGCTGGTAGATGTAACATGAATAATGTCCTAGTATGTCAAGGTCTCAAAAACAATAAAGGAAAAATACAACTCAAAGAAGCTGCATGATAATAATAGACCTCAGGAAGGCCTATGATACAGCTAAGTCGGATAATACTATGTAGTTCTCCCAATATATATTATGAGAACTACATAGAACCAATGAATTCTAAATTAAAAAATACAACAAGGCTTTAAGGAATTGAGAGTGTAGTGAGAGACAATCAGGAGGAAAAGTGTAAGCAAAATTGCACATCAATATTCAAAGCAAGATGGTTTACAGTCTAGTGACACAAACAGCAACAGGCACATCAAACAATAACCTACTCCTTTGGTGAAACAGCAACAGGCACGTCAAGCAAAAAGTGAAGTCAGTCACGGTGCTTACAAAGTACAAGAACAGCAAAAGTAAAGCCAGTCACGGTGCTTACAAAGTACAAGAACAGCAAAATCTTATCATACTTACTGTGAGTTTTCTAGCATTCTTGCAAAAACCTTTAACTGTCATCTTGGAAATGCTTTGCAGATCTCTACCAATATTCTTCAGAAGATTTTGCACACGCTTCTCCATAGCAAGAAAGTCAGCTTCAGCCTTAGCCTGGTAAACCTTTTGGAGATTCACGTATTGCCTGACGGGAAATGAAGAGAAGTAAGCAAAACAAATTTGCCACAAGGAATATTAATTGAATATCTTGCTTCAATAAATTTGTTAGTTACTCTGTTGAAGATGTCATATCAGGAATTGATCCTTCAAGCGGAACTTCACCAGCACCTTCGTTAGCAACAAATTCCTGCACCATTACATTAAACAAAAGAGAATAAGAAAAGCAAGGATGCATTATATACACAGTCTGCAAAAATCTCAAACAAACAGCAACTAAAACAACACAAAATCAAGAACCAATGATATATGTACATAGGTCATATGGTTTTTCTAGCCACTAATAATATATGGCAGACTTATATATTGAGATAGAGACTGTTCCATCCAAATGATTTCTATTTAAAACATGTTCAGGAACTTATGTACTCTCTACGAGAAAAATAAAATCTGATTTACTCTATTTCCCTCTGCATAATTCAACTCATCAACTCCAAAAGTGAGAGCACTGACAACAAGACAATTTCCAAACAGCCACTAATGCATAATGCAATTTTAGAGCTCCATTTCCCAATTAACCATTTTGTATGAGGCCAGACAATAAATAATTAGGCACTAATATTGTTTGGGATTCTTATGTTTATCACTTTTTCAAGTAACAAGATTAAAGAGTAAGGAATCATTGAACACAACCATCTAATCGATTGCCTGAAGTATTATGTGCTAGTGCCAAGTGCAATGATAAACATAAGTAAATCTGTCCGAGATACAATCTAACTTATTCCTAGATTCACGTTAATAAGCCATGGAAAATTGAGATAGGGAATATATATTCACTTATGTACAACATTAGTTTTCTGCAAGAGCACAACGAATGAGAAAATATATCACCAAAGCCTATAATATGGATATCGTTAAGATGCGAGAGGAGGAAACTAGGATTAGATCATATCCAGTCTTTAAGATGCATTTTTAAGCAAAATCCCTCAAATGAATTGCATGGGCAGCCTTCATTTTAGCCCACAAATTGAAAGCTTGGTTTATTAATAAAGAAAAAAGGGTGTAACGCACAGATTGGAAGTGATTGACATATTAGTGGTTGCTGATAGACATAATTTGCCGGAGAGACCTCTCTGGTGATTGTCAACATCATCTGCCCCAGTGGTTATCTCTGGTCAAGCTTATTCAAGTTAGTTTACATTCTCTGTCTTCAAAATATGTTGCTCACCCTCTGTTTCTTCGATCTCCATTTATACCTCTTTCTCCATTGTCTCTGTTTTTTTATTGCCTTCATTCTTTCTTGATCCCTTCCCCTCCTCTCTGATCTACCATTTCTCTCTTTCACCTTTTCTTTCTCTTTCTCTGCGAGTACCCTGTACCAGACTACCAGCAGCCCTTTTCTTACCTTTTTACCTGACTAGGCAGTGACATTATATTCACATGACCCATATTTAACTATTTCTCTCCCTTTTCAATTATGTGAGTACACAGTGGGACATGGGCCTATGTATAATTTAAAAATAAATAACATAACTTTTCGTTTTTTAATTTGAAAATTTAATTTTATTGTATTTTGATAAGGAACTCATTAACTGAATAATAATACAGTGGGAGATACGTGCTCCTTGTGTCCCAAGGCACATGCCTTGCACCTAGGCTCAAGAGACTTTTTGCCTAGGCTCTAGGGACCTTCTACGCATCACATCTATTAACAATACAGCTATTAAATGCACAGTTGAATTAGCTACAAAAGGTAGCAGTCAGAAGCTCTGACTACTAGCGAGTGACATCAAGCAGAAGATGACATACAGGAAAAGAATAATAGCTGTCTATAAACCTACCTGAACACCAGGATGCAAGATCAAGAATCTAAAAATATAATGTTATCTTATCATAGCATAATTTTCACAAACAAATATACAGCAAAACTTAAGTACAATATTAATATGAACTGAAGCATATAATTATATCCTAATTCTAAGTATACAGATAAGGTAGTCAAAAAACATAGAAAGTACTTGTCTCTGAAACAACTCAACAGATTACCAACCTTCAAGGCCGCCACCATCACCCAAAAATCAGATGAATCGGAATTAATTTCAGCAGAACTGTCTTTCAGTATTTGCATCAGATTTGGACCTATAAGTTGAAAAGAGATACAGCTCATAAGAATAATTGAACCAACTAAACTTTTAATCCAAAACTCAAATTTCAAACAAGAAATTTTATATAAGACCAAATTCTGACATCAAATGTGTTTGTATATCTGATCAGTATGGTGGCAGACTGTCTCTATGTATATATGGTCCTTGCATGGATTTGGCCAATTACTTTCTGCCACCCATGTCTTACTCCCTTATTTCTTCATTTTTCTTTTTCTTGGATCTAGATTCTAGATATCAGAAATAAGACATGGTAATTCATTTTTGGTCGTACAATGAGCAAAAATTTTCTTCTAACCAAATTTTTTGGCAATTACAATTCTACTGCTATTTACAGCACAATAAGGTGTCCTCAAAAAAAAAAAAAAAAAAAAAAAAAAAAAAAAAAAAAAAAAAAAGATCAAATTTTTTCTAAGCCTTTCAATCACTCACAAATACAATCATGAGATATTTCACATAATACTTCTAGAGCTAATACCCAATCGGAGGGCTTAAAAAAAAAAAAAAAAAAAAAAAAAAAAAAAAAAAAAAAAAAAAAAAAAAAAAAAGGAAGAACATGATCCCTGAAAAAACAACAGTTTTTCAAAGAACCCTACAATGTTTTGCCCAACAAATTCTCTAAAGATTTGAAGCATAACTAACAAGCAACAGGGCACAACTTAGAAAGACCTAATAACCTCAACCAAACCATCCATAAAAAGGGCAAAACAAGAGAAGACACTTACTATTAAATCCACCCTACAGTACACAAATTCAAGAGACCAATGCAAAGCTTAGATCAAATTCCAATTTATAACAGACCAAAGCAATAAACCAGACTGCACATATAATTTATACATTACAAAGGTAGGCACGACAAATACCTTCTATAGACACATCCAGCAGCTCATTCATCAAACAAACATAATTCTATTGACTCTGTAGAAAAGAAGCTTAAAAAGGGCCCTATACAAGTTCTCAAAATTGGTCCCTTAACTCATACTTAAATATAAATACATAATTTACGAACTTAACAAATTCCAGTAAATTAAGAAAACAGTCGTCAATTGCATGAACATAAAGAACAACATGAGATGATTAAAAATAATCAATCAAGAAAATAAGCCAGAAGGAATTTATTGGCAGTTGCTGCACTGACAGTGTGATAGATTAGTGGGTTTATTTCGAAATTCCAATTGTCTAGTTTACAAGAAATATCACAGATCTGGAGAGGTAAGTAGTATCTTTACCTCAGTCCCCAGCAGTTCAACAATGATTTCAAGAAGCAGGGGTCTCAAAGCTCATACACACACCTAATTTATGTTTATCACATAAAACTAAACATCAAAAATCTGGGGGCCTGTGTGATCGCACAAGTTGCGCCACCTTGGACCCATGACAAGGTGATGTTCATAAACACCATATTATGGAAACCAATAACACCCTCATATATCAGAGCAATTTGGGATCTGATTCCAAGCTAGACTAGCAAAACTCTTTAAGAATTTTAATAAACTGTGCCAACGTTAATAGTAGCTAGGCTTTGATAGAAAAGATTAACATACATATACACACCAGTGTAGATCTATTGCATCACGTGGCAGTGTGGCATAGCATAATGAAAAACAGTAGTCTCAATTTCAGTACAATAGTATACATTATTGCTCATGTAGCAAGAACAATTGATGTAGCAGAGAAGTAATTACTCACTGATTCCTCGAGGAGCAAAGAGCTTAAAGGAGGCATCAACAGCTTCTTTGTAGTTATCTTCATCAAGACCAATCGTCTTTGATTTGAGAAGATCCTAAGGTGTGTTATAGATAAGATAAAGACTATTAAAAGAAAATTCTCATATAAAAATCAAAATTAAATTAAATAAGCAGAAAATTACAAAAATAAGGAAGAATTCTTCAACAAAATGCAATGTCAAGTAATTAAAAAAATATATTTTACAAATCAAATTTGACAATAATCAAACCTTGAACTCTTTTTTCTCTTCTCTAGTTGATGGAAGGGCACCACCGTGACTTTGAGCCCATTCCTCAGCCACTTTTACAAGAATCACAACATAGGGTATGTGCTTGTGAGAAACCGGATCTTGCACATTTATATCAATAGATTCTACAAACCTGTATCCATAAAACAGTAAGCATTCAGCATAGGAAATGACAATCATAATTCATATATCACCCAACCCAAACAAGACCATGTATTAAATCTAATGCCACCTTTTCTTTTCTTTTCTTTTCTTTTTTTTTTTCCCTATGTGCCACCAAGGGGATGTGACTCATGAACATGTACAAAAGTAGGATTGTAAGTCTGTCAAAAATTAAGACTTCTAGCTCTTATATAACAATTTATCAAAAATTAAGCCACAAATAATGTAAGTCTGTCATGGTTGCATAGCTACAAGAATCGTGAAATTATGCATTCACAGGCAATACAGTAGAGCTTATTTAGGAGACATGATTAACTCAACAGAAAATACCACCTCTTGAGCTCTGGCCATGGATTATTTAACCGAAGATCATCCAAGAAATGGTCAGGCTTAGATTCAATCACAGTGTGCTCCTGATACCAAGACAAGCAAAAAGATAGTAAGGTCATATCCGAGTGAAATTTAATAATACAAGAAAGTTTTTTTCCACAAATTTTATTGCAAAATACTCTACTTCACTAGATTCAGAATGCAGCAGTAGTAAGAAGTTAGGCTCATACAGTTTTTTTTTAGTTGAATCCCATTTCCAAACAGGGCTAAGTAAAAGCAGAATTGGGCTCCCAAGAAACCCAAATGGCTTCTAAAGACTTTAAAAACGAAATCTACAATTTGCAGCTTCTTAAAACAGTCTCTCAAGGAACTCAAAATTCCATTTAATGAAACTATTGCAGGACTATAATAACCCAATGAAAACAGGAAAAGACCACTTATGTTCTATTTATTTCCTCAGTTTATCCCCTTCTTCTTTTTCGAAAGTGTTCTCCAAGAACCTACTGACTTTTCTCTCTTCTCAACCTCCACCATGGACTTCCTTTGTCCGTAACCACCATGAGTCCATGACATAAGTTAGACCACCCACCACAACCAGTTTTTCTGCAACCTGCTACAGCCAGCAATCCTGGGCTTTGGATGTTTTTAAGTGGGGAAATTTTAATTAATTGAGAGACAAAGAGAGTAAGGAAGGTGATGTTGCAGTGATCATTGGAGAGAGAAAATAGATGGGTTAATGTCAGGTTATTCAAGTACTATTCCGTACATCCAATGAATAGTTTGAACACTTTCCATGTTTACCACTTTACCCATCCCAGTATAGTTTGAACACTTCCTTTTTCAGTAAGGTTCCATCAATCATGAACTATTTCTTACCTTCCTTTTGAGCCCACAATCTTTATACCAAACCTACTTTTTCATTAAAAATAACTACATTGATTCCCCACTAACTACCATCACACCGACTTTTATATTAAATTAACAATTGATCATCCAACCACAATTTATCGCCTAAAATTAAATGCAGTAAAAAGTGTACGCATAATTTTCGGACAGGAGTATATAATTGTTTTTCATGTTCCTAAGGGAAAAGTTGTTTATGAAATTTGGTTTTCGGGTGTGATAATGGAAGGCCTCCAATCATTTTCAACCCACTCAAAACCAAAGTAAATGCTGGGTGAAATGTTAATTGATACATATATAAAATAAACACATTTGTCAATTATTGGAAAACGAATATGCAATCAGAACAAACACAGTCAAGGTGTGACCAGAAAAAACAATTGCATTATACAAAAAGAATACACCATCAGAATCAATACATATTTTCAATATATATTTCAAATTTTGGCTACTCAATCCAAAAACAACTAAATAGAAAATTCCACAAATAAGAATACCAATCATCATCCATTATATGAGTATTCCCATCCACGGTAAATTTTATACCATTGGATGTTGGGAAAAAGTTATACCATGGAACATTACCATGGTATAAATGAGATTTTACCAAAAGATGGAATCCATGCATATTTAAGAAGTTAGCACACTTTAGATAAATACATAAACAGCATAAATATCAAAACTTCTAAGCCTTACCTTTACACTAACACGTACAAGGCCAGTTAGGCCATAAGATCGAGCAAATACTAACATCACATTAGCCTCCCTGCAGATTCTATCCAGCTTTATCATCTTGTCTTCCACCAACTGTACGATAATGTAACTTTTTCAGGAATATGTTACAACATCAATATTAACATACAGCAAGGACTGATACCAAAGGTTTAACCAACTTAAGCAATAAGTGAGACTGATGCATACATCATCAGAAAAGGTATATGAGAATTACAAACTTCAAACTTCATAAGAGAAAATAACTTCAAACATCACAAACATTTCATGATTACTTACTATTACCATCATTCAACACATCAATACCCTTCACTTTGGACCACAATTAGACATTTACTTCTTAGCATAAGATGAAGTGAAAGATTAGATCATTAAAAAAAATTCCTCCTTGCTCCATGTAATCCAAGCTAATCATGAACTGTGATTTTCATATTTAGTTGCATTGCAATTTGCACACAGTACTCAAATTACAGAAATGATATTGGGTAAGTGCAGAGGAGGGAAAGAGATTTAGGTTAGGTTACAAGGCATAAATGGCTCTTGATAGGGGCATGGACAAAAATAGAGTCCATTTTGGTGGAAAAGAGCAAGGCTGGCTGACATGGTTTCAAGTATCTGCTGATAAGAAATGTGCCAACTGAGATGTATCTAATTACCAACTTGCAGAATCTTTATCCACTAAGTTATAAAGTTCCATCATGTGTCAGCCAAAACAACTAACAATGAGCCAATATGAAGCCAATATAGGCCTATAGACAGACAACAAAACATTCTACATCAACAGAACTATTATATGCAGCACCGTTATTGCATCCATCAAAGTGGCAACTGTGGATAGGAATGGTGGCCCTTATTTTTTGTGGTGGTGATGGTGGTATTGAAACTGAATAAATCTAACTGTCTAAAAAGTGGGAAGACAATATTTCAGGAAAACTAATTAGAAAAATTGGGAAAGTAGAAAACAGCTAGAGCCAAACCCTTGCAAAAGCAAATGATCTGTGATTGTGGTTAGGGAATTTTGACATCATGATACAGCAACAAAAATCAGTACAATGCGGCACAAAAGTACATATTTAATTATTATGTTAAAGATGCTAAATGAAAATTCACATCCATTTCACACAGATTGATAGGTAAATTATAACATAAAAAAGTTGTAAAGAAGATGCCAGCTGTGAATTCATAAAATAGTGATCAAATTTCTGCCCTCTCCCTCTCCCCCTCTCCCTCCCTCCCCCTCTCCCTCTCCCCCTCCCCCCCCCCCCCCCTCCCTCCCTCCCTCCCTCTCTCTCTGCCTTTGAGAACTCCGGTGTCAACATACAGCCAGCTAGTAGTTATCACCAACATAGCAGACCTGTAAACCAACTCAATTTTCTAGCTTCAAAAGCTTTAAATGCCTTTGCACTTCCTATCCCTTGTTCATTTCTATGATTTGCACACAGCTTCATTTTTTTACCCTTGATTTTATATATGAACTTTTTTTAGTCATGAATCTCATGCTATAGAATCAATAACCCTTAAATAAACTTACTGAACTTATATTTCCTAACCTTGTACACAAACTTTAAGCTAGCTAGCTCAATTAAAGAAATATATTTTATAATAAATTTCTAAATTACACTATGCGTGAATAGGCCCCATGACCTAGTTGAATGTGGGATTTGGCGTAAAATATTCGGAACATTTATCACTAACCTAAGGTCAATAAATCTATGGTAATAATTATTTACCAATATAATTAAAGAAGCACTAACCCTTTACGTTACCCATTGAATAAAGAGGATTATTTCATAGTAATAGTCTTCATTTCCAATGAGTGTCACTTATCTTTGACTCACAGGCATTTTCATGATTTTGCCTAGAATCATGACACACGAACAGAGAAGAAAGGCATTATAACAGAATGATACAAATTAATCTAGTGTAGGTAAAATCTATGTTACATGGACATGGCATTTTTGCAGTCATACCCGGGTCAACACGACCCGACACGGATCCGGTATGAAATCCGTTTCGGATACGTCATCTGGTCAGGTACGACAATGTCGTCGAAGAAGAGGAGTCGGGAACTTGGGACATTCATGGCGGCCATGAATGAGCTTAGAGAGAGGGAGAGGAAGAAGAAGGTTTTTTACTTTTTTTTTTTCATTTTAATGTCATTTCCTGTTGGTAAATTGTTAAAGTAAAATGATACAAGGGATAAATTTTTTTTTTTTAATGTTTATAGCTGTAAGCCTGTAAAAGTAATGAGGTTTTTTTTTTTTGGTATGCACAACAAGAAGTTGAAAATCATGTGTTGTAGTCCACAATTCCACGTAGTAGGGTAATGGCTGTAAAAGGCTTCACCTTCTTTAATGTAAAATTAAATAAATTTTTGTCTCCCCAAACAAGACTAACTGTATTTTTTAAAATTATTATGTTAAAAAATTTATTACCGTATCTTGTACCCGTGTCCAAAGATAAGATGGTGTCTCCGTATCCTAAGTTTTTGAAAATGACGTATCGGATACTCGGATCCGTACCCATATTGGATACTTGAACTTGTGTCCATGTAACATAGGGTAAAATCTTAAAATAGTCTGAGACAAACACAAAATATGTCCATCTTATCATGCATTCATTTACTCAATAAGATGTTAATATGTAACATGTTTCACACCCCTCTTTCTTCTCCTACCCATTCTCTATGCACTAAGGTGTATTTGTTTCAGCAACTTGTTTCCTAGCTTTTGATTTTTGGTTACCTTCCATGAATATCTTCTTTCTTCATTAAGTTTTGTTCTCTTAATAATTTGCAAATATATTGTACAAGGAGATGCTATGTAAATCTAAAAATAAATAAAAATAACTTTAGTACACCATTACATAAAGACAGTTGCACAACATGCGCTTACAAACAAAAGATTAGAAAACATAAAATGGAAATCCATAACAAGCATGTTATGCCAGGTACATTAGTTGATATCTCAAGAAACACCTTAAATCATTCTTTAATAGTTGATGATCAAGAAAAAGCACAATTAAAAGCTGGATGAGAATGCATACCTGCGTAGCTATCACCAAGGTAAATTGTGAAAAGAATGATGGATTTGACTCAATTAACTTCTCAGGTACTTCTTCAATAAACTTTGCATTCACAGCATCATTGAGCTCTTGCAGGAATGCACAGACACATTTTGCCTTTGATTCACCAAGACTGGTTTCATCCACTAGACATCCCATAAGAAACAATTAGAAAGCCAATGTATACTAAATAGAAAAGAAAAGGAAGTTTGTTACTCAGAACACACCGATATAAAGAGAAGCAATAGTCATGAACCATCAAACTACCATGAGGAAAGGAAAAGCTTAAGCAAAATAGTATTGAACAGTATTTACAGAAGTAAAGACAAATTACTCATACATCCAAGATATCCTGAGAAATATATACCAACAAAATGTAAGAGATACAATGCATTACAGCAAAGAACAACAAAGAGCCCTAAATGTTGATATGGTGCTTTGTGTATGCTTAATTTTCCTATTATAATCTTTAAAACTTCATATACTTACAGAATTATTCAGTTAAACCAGGGCATTAGCAGCTTCAAGCATAACAAGATGAAAGCCGCAGATCAAAGATTAGCTAAATTCTAAGACAAATTTGTCATCAGTCCAGAAATTGTAATATGATTTTTAACACAATTGTGTTTAACAATGCAGTTACTTACGACAGTTGCACCCAAAAGAAGGTATCATAAGGCAAAAAAGGAGATAAAATTTTCAGAATGGGAGAGAAGAATACCCATGAAGTTATTTCCAAGATCACCCAGTTCGACCTTTGATCCATCAACCACAGTGATGCTGCCAGTCCCACCAAGAACCAAATTCTTCAAAGTTTCAGACCCAGTAGGTCCACAATTCAGCAAACAGACAGTCGCTTTTTCCAATGCTGCTTGTCCTTGCTCACCCCATATCCTGCAGCCAGTAATTGCTATTACCTCTTGCCTTTCTCAGCAAACTAATTGTGAAGTTGCAATAGAAATAAGATCTTTCACAACATTGGTCTCAAGTATAGGATACAAAGTTAAGTGTACCTACATTTGCACGTCAATATAGCCAATGGTACGAGGTGAAAAATGAGTTAACCTTGAATCTGAGTTAAGTATTCTCTTACTCTTCAACTAAACACCTCTTTGGCCTTATTATCTTCAGTCTTCGCCTTAATTTTGCTGAAACTTCAATTAATTTTATTGATTGAACTTTATTTTTCCAATAAAACTTGACTTTGAGTAATACTTGATTTTTATTTATTCAATGTGTATTTGTTCTCTTCAGATACTGATTTTTAATGATCAAATTTATCAAAAACTAATATTTACTGAACAAAACTGATTTTTACTAAATGAAACTATTTATAACTGATTAAAAGATGTGAGCTTGATTTAACTGATTCATCCTAAATAATACTCAGCATAATTTTATTTTATTTTTAAAGGTTAAAAGAACAGATACTTATGCTAACAAATAAAACAACGAAAATTTCAAATAGTCCAGGAAATATATGAGGAAATTGAATTTAAATTGCAGATTAAACAAAATTATGAGCACAATCAACCATGAAATCATCAAATCTTCTAGCACACACCCAAATACCCAATTGAAAATTCAATAAGAATAAAACAAAACATGTAAGAAATTCAACAATTTACAACACCAAAAATGCTCAATCACCTAATGATTATCAAAAAAACCAAACTCAAAATTCGTCAATAAAAACAACAATTCAAGAATAATGGAGTTAAGAAGATGTAATACCGAAGTTGTCGATCGTATTTGACTTTAGGTTCTGCCATTGATTATAGAAATCGGGTAGCTTGAAGCAGCAAGGCCTGGGTTTTTGGCTTGCTTGTAACGCAGTTTTTTGAGATGTTGTAATGTGTTGAACTTGAACTTGAACTCGAACTCGAACACGGGTGCGACCGTGAGTGAGAAGCAGTATATGCGTTTGGTTTAGATGAGCAAAGAACAAATGCAAACTGTAATCGTTGCCGGAATAGTCAGAGGGTGTTGAGCGATGGTGGAGGCCGTCTTTGAGAGAGCAAGTGAGCGACTGGGGGTTTATTGAAACGAAGTATATAAGTCACCCTTCAAAAAAAAGAAAAACCAAATATATTTTAGGAAAATTTGATTCCCATGATCCCACCTTTTGATTTTTATTCAATATTTCATCTTTATAGGCGATTTTCTTCTATTGATCCCTAATCTGTTGGTAACCGGTTTTGATGGATAAATATGTTACGTGTCACTTTGTGATTGGTTGAAATTAAAAAAAAAAAAAAAGAGAGAAACTAAAAAATTTAAAAGAATAAAAAGAATAAAAAATACCTCAGCCACTCAAACCCCCACGCCACCCCATCCTAAACTCCCGCAACCGTCCCTTCCCACCCCCTCCACCCTCCGGAAGCCCCTTCCCCATCCCCACCACCACCGAAATCTTCCCCGGCCCTCTCCACGACCCACCCAACGACAACGCCCCCTCCCCGAAATCAATGGAGTCGTTACCCCTGTCATCGTCCTCAAAACTAGACGATAATGGCGACGAAGTTGCAGGTCTCATTCCTCACGCTTCAAAGCAACCTCATTCACCCTTGATCGTCTTCACAAGGTCAGTCTCTTTCTTTGAATTTCTCCATTTCTGACTTTTAAAGGTCTAATTTTTACGGCATTGATTTTTGAAATTCTAGAGGTACTTCAAGTTGATACGGAGAACATTCGGCAGCGGTTGCTGGAGCCGGGAGAGGGGAGAGCAAAAGATCCCGGTAGCGGAGGGGGTGGGAAGGGACGACTGCCGGAAATTGGGATGGGGTGGAGTGGGGTTTGGATGGCTGGGCATTTTTTGCTTTTTAAAAAAAAATTAATTTTTTTCTTTTTTAATTTTTTAGACAAATCATATAATAACACGTGTCACTTAAATTAAAAAGAAATTTTTTTTACCCAATGTACAGGTAATCGGTCACAAGGGATCATTAGAAGAGAATCTCATATAAAGGTGGGATTATTAGATAATAATCAAAAGGTGGATTATTCACAGCGAGCCGGCTAAAGGTGGGATTATTAGAATCAATTTTTCCTTTATTTTAATATAAAGATTTATCTGTAAATAACCACCTCTCAAAGCGAGGATTTCTTAGCCTTCGCTTTGTGTCAAAAACAAAAAAAAAAACCACCTCCTAAAGGGAGGATTTCTTAGCCTATGCTTTGTGTAAAAAAAAAAAACACCTCTCAAAGCGAGGATTTCTTAGCTCAACTTAGGACTAATCTAACTTTTAAAAATAAAAGGAAATTGGAAAAGCAGAATAAAAACAAAAAAAAAAACTGTAAAAGAGAGGGGGACTTGTTGTCAGTAAGCACCATCCTTTTCCTCCCTAAATTTTCACTAGCATTGAGTAATCCGCCACATAAATCATGATTTTTCCTCCCAAATTTTCGACAAAAATTTATTGGAATTCCCACCCTATTGCTGAAGACACACCACAAGAAACGCACCAAATTGTTAATTGAAGCTGCCAAAGGAAAAATAACCCCAAAAGTTTGGGGGTGAAAAAGTGAAGCCCTAATTAGCGAAATGGATTTTGGTAATTGGGTGAACAAACAAAGTGAGATCATTGAGGTTAGTATTTATTTGTACATGATTAATTATGTACCGTAATTGTGAATTTAGTTCGTAATTGTTCAAAAATTGGTTAAGTTATTGTTGAAATTCGTTAATTATGTAGTCAAAAAATGAAAAATAAGATTGATTTAGTATATATGAACGTTTGCTTGTTATTTATAAGTTGTAATCAACTGGAATTTGGAATAGGCAAATGGAATTTGTAATAGGCAATTGGGACTTAATTTGTATTTGATTAGGAAAAATATAAAGATGCTAATTTATAAGGACTTCCAATTTATGTGGTTTGATTTGTGTTATATTAAAGCCATATATGTCTATATATCCAATTAAATGAAGATTCTCCAATATTTTGCTTGAGTATAGTTCCGGTTCTGATGTCCCTGTTGATTAGGGGATTTTCCCCGCCCAATCACAATATGCCACGTGGACCAATTAGGCCCTGCCATGTGTTCGCCACATGGACCAGCTAGGGCCTGCCACGTGTCAAGCAGTAATCAGTCCAACTTGGACCAATCGTGCCACGCCACGTGGCCTGCTGTATGTCCACCTAGGAAACCGGCCACCTAGGCCCAGTTTCTGGGAAAAGCCCAATCAGCACTAGGTTGACCTAAACCTAGGATTGGGCACGCATCCTGAGACTATAAATACTGTAATTAAGCCTCCATTTAAGGGGATTCAGAAATAATTACTCTCACCTAGAGAAGCCTAAACACACTGATCACTCCTTCCCTTGAGGAACCAGATCTCCCACCTTTACTTTTCCGCACTTTTTCACTCCTCAAACAAGTACTAACTTGATCGTCGGAGGCGGAGCTCCTACCACCCGGAGTCTCCGTTGTTTTGCAGGTATAGGCGCAAGGATACCAGTCCCGGAATTGTAACTCTCCTGTAGGACACCAGAAAACCCCGAAACATTTTGGCGTCGTCTGTGGGGAAAGTACTTTCGAGATGGCATCACAGTTTGTACCGAATCAAAGCGAGAAGCGTCCTATGGACGATCCTCAGGTCTACACTGACCAGGATACTGACAATGAGGTCGAGGTCGAGACTCACACGGCCTCAAACGGGACCTTAAGAGCTCGACGAACTCGTCCCTCCGAAAGGAAGGATCGACGGGATTGCCTGGCTGGATCTAGTAAACCAGCCGGCCAGCCGCTTGATCATCAACAGGCGGCTGAGGGATCTGCCCTCATCACTAGAAGCGAACTCATGACCTTCATGAATAGCTTCAAAGGGGAGATCCAGGATCTTATCAATAAGAGGACGCCTGTTCCACCAAAGGAACAGTCGGCCAGAAGACCCTCTCAATCTGGGAGGAAGAAGCCTGTAAAGGATCGGGAGGCGACTCCTTACCCTAAGCCTAGGGAGTGGGAGCCGCCGGTGATCGATCTAACTAAGTACCGCTTCCCTTCTCCAGGGAAGAGGAAGCCCATCCGTCATGTTCAGCCGGATGGGTCGAAGAAAACATATTCTGATGCTCGAATGTTGCTAGAGCAGAAGAAGAATGACCGACTATCAGAGTCGGCCTCTACGTTTGATTTTCAAGACGGTCTCCACAATACCTCCTTGAGGTATTCAAAATCAAATTATGAGAGCCAGACAGGCGGTACCTCCTACCGGTCCGGCTCCCAGAAAAATCAAGCGGCCCCGTATGTGCCACCCCAGCCATACGTGCCGCAACCCCAATATTTCATGCATCCTACTCTCTTTGGAGGATAGGAGGCAAGAAATGTCCAACCTTTGGACTGGCAACTTAGGTTGCTTAGACTTGAAGAACGGCCATCCGCCTTCTCCAAGGAGATAATTGAGGCTGCCCAGCCGGCCAAAGTGAAGAATGTGTTGGTAGGAGCCTATGATGGCACTACCAACCTTGAAGATCATCAGATGGCGTTCACCAACCTAATGTACCTTCAAGGGTTGGATGATCCCACATGGTGTAAATGTTTCCCGGCCACATTGAAGGGCATTGCCCAACAATGGTTTGGCAACCTGTCGACCAGTTGTGTTAATAATTTCAAGACCCTCGCTTACTTGTTCACTTCAAATTTTGCGATGAACATCCCTGCTAAGAAGACGACCCTTGACCTAGGGACAATATAGCAGGGAGAGAAGGAGGGATTGCGTTCCTACATCAGGCGGTTTAACCTTATGAGGATTCAGATACAGGGGCTGCCGGATGAGGTAGCCTATACTGATTTTTTCATAGGGCTGAAAGACGGGTCAAACTTCAAATTTGATCTTGTTAGAAAGAGGGTGACCACCCTCCAGGAAGCCATGATGGAGGCGGACGCCTATATTCAGGCAATCGACCTCTGTGATACTGGGAAGCAATCGGACGACAAGAGGTCCGATAAAAGAGAAAGCCGACCAAAGCAGTCTGCAAATAAAGACGAGAAAAGGAGGAAAGAAATCTGGGCGGCCGACTCCTCTGAACAGCCGTCCCAAAAAAAGAAAAAAGAATTTAAACCATACTCCCCTAAGTATGAGTTTAGCAAGGATAGTCATGTTATCCTTAATGAAATCAAGGGCCGGATCTCAATTGAGAAACTAGCCGCCATGAAGAGTTCTGTCAGCAATTGGAACCAAAATAAATACTGCCATTACCATGAGGACATTGGTCATGAAACCAATGAATGTATTAGCCTCAAGTGCCTTCTGGACCGCCTGGCAGACAAAGGGGACCTTGATTCCTATATCAAGAAGTCCAAGGGGAATGCACCCCCAAACAAAAACAGGCGGCCAAAAAGAAGCAACGGTCGGGTGACAGTTCTGACACCGACGACGCTGTCGTCTATACCATAGCAGGCGGCTTTGCTGGAGGCGGCCCCACAATCAGGGGCAATAAAGACAACATCAGACGGCTGGATGTTAACTCCGTCAACCAAGCGCGGACCTCCAAGAGTTCATTCCCAGAAATCGTCATCACAGAGGAGGACTTGGGAGGTGTTAGGGGGCCGCATGACGACCCCATTGTAATTAAATGCAAAGTGGCCAACCAGAGAGTTGGCCGGATCCTCATAGATACCGGCAGTTCTTCTGATCTAATCAGCAACAAGTTCTTGGCAAAGCTTAAGTACAAACCAGACAGCATACATCCTGTATCTCACCCTTTAGTGGGGTTTAGAGGAAGCGTCGTACACCCAGTGGGACGGGTTGATCTACCTATCCGCCTGGGTGAGAAAGGGGAGGGTCGTCACATGGTAGTCCGGTTCTTAGTAGTTGAAGAGCTCTCGGCCTACAACATGATCTTGGGGCGGCCCACCCTGAACAATTCCAAAGCTGTCATCATACCATCTCTCATGCTGCTCAAGTTCGAGAAGGATGATGGAACAGTCGGCTCCCTAAGGGGAGACCAGAAGATGGCAAGAAAGTGTTATATCTCGAATATTAAACCCACTGTGGCAATTGCTGGCCCTAGTGGAGAGAAAACTGATCTTGAGCAAATCAAGGATGATGCGCCTGCCCAAGTAGCAGGCGGCAAGAAGAGAAAGGATGCCCAACTGGGGGCCGAAAGAAAAGAAAAACGATAGCAATCACTGGCCGAGGAGCGGTCAGACGAGTTCTACCCTCAGCCGGCTGGTGAGCATGTGGACGTCGTCCTGGACGACTCATGTCCTGACCGAACAGTTAAGGTTGGGACGACTACTCTTGCTGCACTTGGTGATGATTTTCACCAACTCTTGAAAGAATTCAAGGATATCTTCGCATTTGAAGTACACGAGATGCC